GGGGGTCCTTTCGGTAATAGTGTATCGTACGCACCCCCCTCACCAGCTGTGTTCTGTAACCGAAGGACCTCTACAAACACAGAAGGCGGCACTACTGAAACAGCTCTTTTAAGAAGGCCGAAGGATGTTTCAAGGAAAATCTCGGGAATCATAAGAATCCTGAGCTGGGAAGGGCCAGTCCCTCCGTCCTGGCCAAGCACCTGCACACACCCCATCGCCAATCTCTGCTGATGGGCGGCACCGCTTCATTAGAGCTGCCAGCTGAACCTGAGTGTGCAAGTCTGTCAAAACCACACCGCTGGGAACGTTAATTCCTTTAAGGATGATAGTTCCCACTTGGCCAAAGAGGGAAACCTAAGAATACCTGTAACCACCAAGTAGGCTGGAAGAGATCCTCACATTTTAAAAAGAGGTAAAAGTGGAAATGAATGAAGTTAGACTGTGTGTGTGCGCATGGTGTTTGTTTTTCAACAGTAATGTCTCTCAGAACTATCCCTACATCCGAGTCTCCTGGGTCTCCTGGCAGTGTGCGGCATAGGGCCTCCGCATGCACAGAGATTCCCATCATGCATTTTGCAAAGCTGCGTTCAGTCAACGACAGTGAAATGTGTGAATCAGCCTAGGCTGGAACACAGGTCTGAAATCCCCCTTCACTCCTCTCATCTCCACACTGATACCCTACTCTTCGGTTACATGAATCTTTTGGTCCTATACAAATGAAACAAAATGTGTTAACTAGAAGCTACTAAAGCTCAAGTTTGAGGGCCTTCCCCTCGCCTGAGGCTCCCCCGTGAGTAAATGTGCATCCACAGTATTGTAGTCTTTCTTCTGAAGGAGGGCCCACAGAGTGGTACCACCTTCATGTCCTACAAACCTGCTGCCACCACGTGAGTTAAAAATTGCTCAGTGGGTTTTTGCCAAATTTATAACCTGTGACTGAAAAAGATGAACTTAAATTACTGACATTATGACATTAAAATGCCCTTTGGATTACTGTGGGGTCACCCTCGACAGACTGACATCCATCCTCCTGGGTTGCTGAAATGTTGATCTAAGTAAGAATTAATTCTAGATTCACTCTTTGTATATCTTCATAATTATGTCACCTTCTACCATCTCACTTCTTAGAATTCCTCTTAAGACATTTATCACTGCTACTATTCTGTTTTCTAATAAAATAACAGCACCTTACTCCATAGTCTTACCTCTACTTTTTCCCCTGTCAATATTTTAAGACTATGGATAGCCACATGGAAATCTCCACGTTGTAAATATTAGCACAGTTGGAATTCCTTCTGAAGACCATCTGAAGTTTCCGCATCAATTTTTTCCACAAGTAGGGCCTGACATCTTTAAACTTGAATCTACAGTACTGCAATTTGGCATTCCACTTCAATTCTTTAAAAGCTTCATTTATATTGATCTTGTCTTTTGGAATTTCCTGTAGGCTGCCTCAGATAAAATAATTTCCAGCCGAATCTTCATCCTATCTGCTCTCTACTCTGACATTGTGCCTTCAAAATCAAATCTTATTATTCAACCCAAAACAAAAACACTTTATTACAGAATATTAAATCAGTAACATTAACAGACTGACCTTGGTAATTCATTTTACCATGATTGATAAGCCAATGTTTAAGCTTTGACTACTGATCCTCAAAGCTTTGCAAATTTCTTCCAGACTATTCAAAATCTAACAAGATATTCTAACCACCACACACAGAAATCACTATCCAACCACCGCGTGTCTTAGACCAATTCAATGCTTTGCTCTCTCATTTTTCACATAAGGTTACAGGCAAAACTACAAAACTAGGACTGATGGTAAAGGCCAACCATTTTACCTTCATCTGTTTCATTCCTGGCATCTTCCTGAGTTGGTGAATGTGAAAATACACGAAGCCCAAAATAGCAGTTGTGCACTGCCAGGTCAGCCCAGTCATTTCCAAGCCAAAGGGGAATTGACAGAAACCCCCTTTACAAGTCTAGTGTTTGTAAATATCCAATGAAATGACTTCATTCAGTCAATTATTTCTGGAGAAACCTGGCAGAATAACGTAGTAATTAAACTGAGGACTGGTGAAAACTTTTAAACAAGAGAGCTATTCTGCTCAACAGTTCTAGCTAATGCTCTTAATGCATTTTCATGAAAAAAATGCTTGAAATACTAATACAATTAGAAGGAATTGCTCCTTCACTGAGAAACATATTTAAAATATTCCAGTGCTGATAGTACGCGGAAAAAGAGAAATTCGGTTTTCTAGTATCTTCTTAAGAGTCAGAATTTCTTAAGTATGATGAATTCTGACATAGAAACAACTGTATCCAAATATAATTAGAAAAGACATCCCAAAACCAAACATCATGCAGTCAAGACTCCAGTGCCTGCGTGCTGGGTGTTCACTTCACAGTGAACATGCTGTCTGCAGTATATTTCTCCCTGCCCAGTCTCCAACTGGCTCCTCCAATAAGCAACCAACATACCTTGATTCCCATTCATTCATTCATTCATTCAACAAATGGAACCAACCTATCAGGCATTATTCTAGTTACCTGTAATGTAGCCACAAAGAAAAATACTTTATCATGTATCTCTTCTAGGTGCCTATTGGTTATGCACTTGGAGCAGACCAAAGTTCTAAAACAAAGTAACCACCTGGAATCCAAAAGCTGATGGGAAAATCTCTGAATGCTTTCCAAAGTAAAATATAAGCTGCTGAATTACTGGTATTACTTCATTTTGCCAAGACTTGCATACAAATAAACGCCATCTTTCCTAGTACCTGATGCCATGGATACAAAGGTTTAAAAAAGGGGAGGGTGATTTGGGGGCTATCTGTTAATAAAGTCAGAGAAGCTGGAGAAAACAAGAGCTTAGGAAAAAACCAAGCCCCAAATTTCCAAGGTACAGTGAAACTGTTTTAGTGACTAAAAACAGCTTGTTACATTTCACAAATACTTCTCATTTCTCTTTGTCAGAATACATGATACTTCACTTACAAGATTCCTCTGGATGAAAAAGCAAAATCTTTGGGAAATGCAAGTCACATGGAGTATGAGATTAAGGACTGTCAGTCATTCACATTTGTTCACTCGACCTCTTGGAGAATTTAATGAAATGTTTGCCAGTTATTTGTGAACTGAGGATTACTATAAAGTCAGATCGGCAGGGTAGTTGAGATCACAGATTCTGGAGCCACGCTCTGCCTGAGTCTGGATACTAGCTGCATCACTAACAAGCTGGGCAAGTTTGCAAAACTAAAAAACTGATACCTGAGGTCTGTATCACATATGAGAGTGAGATCCAAATTTCTATTACAAGTTGAAAAAATGACCTTAAATCCGGTTCAAAACATTGGAAATTTCCAGAGCTCAGGAAAACCAATCCATAGAGACGATCTCTCACCCCAAGGCACACAGGACTCTCACAAACAACGTCTTTGAATTTATGCTCCCAATATTATACATCATTTGAAGAAACTCATCCCCCATGAGGGCGAGCCAACAGAAACAGATTTAGAGCCTTGCAAACTAGAAACCACGATTTTACACAAATGATGTTACCTCGTACTGTGATCTCCCTCGGGCTTTGGTTCTCATCCGGGGCTAATGAAACCTCTAAAATACCCTAATATTCATGTCTATTAAGAGTATTGATAACTCTTGAAATTCACCTCCTGAGCTAAACTTTGTAAAATTTAACAGGGGGCACACGTGGTTCACTTTTATTTGAAGAATTAGATGCTTGGAGTCTAAGTGGGGACCTAAATTAACTATCAGACTGCTCCTACTTTGGAGCTAATCTGCACCTCACATTCACAGATTTCGTCTACGTTCAAAAAACTGGATTAAAATCTCCGCCAAACCTTTTGGGTTGCATTGTAAATTTTAAATGCTGGGGGAAATGAGTCCACGTTTAAGCTAAAGGGTGTGTGCACACCTAGATTTCAGAAGTCACTTTAAAGTTTAAAAGCTCAAAGGTTGTAAGGGAAATGCCAAACATACTTCCCCTCCTGACCACCTATATGGAAACCTGAAATATTTATTTCAACACTTTTCTTGTTGTATTTTCAAGCTACTCCTTTTGTTTTTTCAATTTCTTTAAAAATACTGACACACTAACAAAATGTAAGCCAAAATAAAAGGTGTTTTCATCTTTTCAACCTCGAAATCTTGTTTCGAGGGTTGAAATCAGCTAACAATGATTAACTCGGGAAGCCAGAGACATTACGCGCCCAAGAACGATGACGTCACGAGCAGCCTGCTTAAGGAATGTTTGCCCCTCCCCCAGGGCCAAAGTTTTCCGTGGCCTTCTCGAACCATAAAAGGCAGATGAGAGTCCATGTGTAACAGGGAAGGTTTAGACATCCCTTGGGAAAAAGCTTGAGGCTGCCTATTAGCAAGAATCGTTCACGGAACATCAAGGACACAACCCACATTCAACAGAAACCTGGGAGACGCTACAGAGACCCTGTTAAACGTGTCTGTTCCCTTCCCATTAATTAAACAGCAGGCCTCCAAAATGTTCCTTCGTAATTAAGCGCCTAAATGTGAACATTCTCTTGAGTCAACCAGCAGGGTACTTCAAGCGCAATTTTGAAAGGAACATGTATGACAAGCCCCATACCACACACCTCAAGACCACCAGGTAGCAAGCTCCGCCCCCCGAACGCTGACGTGCAGCCTCGAGGCAGTGACACCCGCCCTCCGCGTCCATTTGCAGTCACTTCCTAACTGCCTGTTTTTCTCCACCCTTACCCCCCATCGCCCTTTCCCCCCTTATGTCTTGAAGCAATTAACCCAACAATCACAGGAGACGGGAGACAGAGCGCGTCTGCTCAGAGGGAAGAAATGTCTGCGTGGCCAAGACCTCCTTAGGCAGTTTGTCCGGCACTGCGGTGGGCAGCCTCGGAGGGATCCGGACTGTGGTGCTGGAAAAAGGGGGCCTTGGGTCCAAAGCTCGACGAGCTGATTGGCTGATCTGCCGCCGCCGGGGAAGAACCCGGATGTGCCTGGGTAGTCGCGTTGGCAGTCGGTGCTCTGCGGTTTGGGCATTCTCCGAGGGTGGCAGCTCGGGCGGATGGCGCAGGCCTGGGCTGGCTTCTCTGAGGAGGAGCTGAAGCGACTAAAGCAGAGCAAAGGTAACAGGACGTGCAGGACATGCCGGCGGACCTTGAATTCAAGGGTCTGTTAGGGCAAGGGGCGGGGCTGCAGCTTTGAGAGGGAGGGGGCGGGGTAGAGGGAAAGGTGTTTATGTTGCAGAACTGAGCTATGAGTGGGGAGACAGGATTGAGGGGCTCCAGAGGCGGACCACTTGGGCCCGTCCAGGGGGACTGGGACCTGCTCTGAGAAAAGAGTTCAGGGATCCTTTGCAAGGTTTCGCTTCTTGCTGTGAAGGTAATGGAGAGGAGGTGAGCCTTTAGCCGGGCCGAGCATTGCAGTGTAGATCCAGGATTGAAGGTTGGGGTGAGGGTACAGGAAGGAGAGGTACACACTACATTAGAATTGTGATGAATTTACAGCAGCGGACAGTGACCGGGAAAGGGGGAGCACAGGGGTCCTCGCGCAGAACGTCGGTGCTTTTCATAATACATCTGGAGTCTTGCGTTCACTTCTGGTTGCCAGATGATTTTGGCAGCTCTTGCTAACCCTTGAGAGTCAGTAAACCAAAGGGGTCTTTGAGAGGTTAGATGTGAAATAAATAAGTATATGTATACACACTACTTTGGTATAATCCAAAGATCTTGTGTTTCCCTCTCTTTTTATAGGGTAAGCATCGAATGGACTTGTACTATTTCCTTTTAATGAAGGAATTAAGTTTGTGGATACTTGGTGAGAAACTCTTGGTGATATAAAGTAGGCTTTGTTGGTGGTTGAAGTTTCAAAAATTTCTGTTCGGTAATTCCAGTAGTGCACGCAACTTTTGTGAGTTTACTCTTGGTACCAAACTTACACACTGTACATTTGGAGAAAATAAAATAAACCCTGGCATGCCTTTTCTTACAGTTTGTGAGAAAATTGCACATTGCTCATGTGGGGCTGTGCATTTTTAGCATGGGTGTGAGGATAAGCTAGGGCTGACCATAGGTTGAGGAAAGTTTGACTGGCCCAGGGGCCTTTACAAATTTAACATAAGAGTTGTGATGCAGTGTGTAATTAACTGTCTCTGTCTTGCTTGATGATACCAAATTCTCTTGTTCTGTGTTTTCAACACCCATTCACTTAGATGTACAGAGTACAAGTGCCTCTACTTGTCTGACCTGAAGTTAAAGGTATCATCTTCTGTGGCAGGGCTGCTAAGGTGAACAAGGCCTCATCCCCCTTTCAAAGAGTTTGTAGTCTGCTAAGGAGATAATCTGTAATATAATGTGATAGGAGATATTCTACAAGAGCTTGCTGCCCAGTGAGCAGAAACCTCACTTGGGTTGGGGGGTGGCGCTTGGGAAGATGTCACAGAGATTATGTGTTAGCAGAGGTGAGTCTGCTGGGAAAGAAGACTTCGTGTCCAACTCTAAATTAAATAAGAGATTGATTATGGAGAAGTACATTTCTTTACAATTTGGGATAGAGAGAGGGTGGGAGGACTTCGATTTCAAAGCCTATCATTGCATAGACACCCACTCACTAGTCTGAGATCACCTTGAGGAAGAGAAAACATCTTAGCATCTTTGTAAACTCATAGCCAAACAACAGTGATTACCATAAGGCTCATCTAGCTCTGCCTGTAAATCTTTTTGTCTTGGAGTCCTCATTTGTAAAACTAGAATTGTTGAATCTTTATTTTTCAAGGCTCCTTTCAGCTCTTCTATAACCATTAAAATATTAACCTATGAAAATGAAATTGGTTACCAACAAAAATAAGGAAAACTTGTGCAAAAATGAGGAAAATAACCATATGTGCATTGGTGGAGAACAAGAATGTTCTCAACTCTCTTTATAATATTGCAAAGCTGGGAATAAACCAAATGTTCATTAACAAGAGGTGGATAAGTAAATTGCAGTATGACCGCCCAGTGGGCTACTATATAGCTAGTGGGAATATATGAACTGTAGCCATGTGAATTAACATGTATAACTTTCATAAAAACAGTGTATGAAAAGAGCAAGTTGCAGGAGAATATATAGTCTGATAACCTTTTAGAGAAGATCAAAATCACACAGGCAGGTATGTTTTAGGAATGTAGAAACTCTATAAAGAAAATCTAGGGACTGAAACACCAAATTCAGGGTGGTGGGGAAGTGAGGAGTGGCAAATACATAAGGAATTTCAAAGGAAGTGGTAATTATGAAATCAGGTTAGGCCAAGTTAAGCTGCGGTAACAAATAGCTCTAAAATATCAATTGTTTAAAATAATCAAGACTTATTTTTCACTCCAGCTGTATGGCTAACATAGGTTGGCAGGTGACTGCTCCACGTAGTCACTCTGCACCATGCCCTCGGGTTGTCCCTGGAGGAGTTCCCCATGGCAGGAGGAGGAGAAGACTGAGAGTTAAACATTGGCAACAAAATACTTTCACCAGTAAATGGCAGGTGTCACTCCTTTTAGTTCATTTGGCAAAACCAGGTTATACAACTTTAGAAGACAGGATATACAATTATCTTATGTATTTCAAATAAGTGGGTAATGTTCTATTCTTGAGTGGCAGTTATATTTACTATATTTACATGTTTTATTTGCTAAACTGTATTGTTACTTCATTATAATCCACACAGGGTAGATTGTATGTGTGTGTATGACATACATATTATTGGACGTTTGACTTATTGGAAATAAAAGCAGTACAGCTACAGTGCTTTATGTTTTCCAGTTGTTGATATATGAAAAATACAAAAAGCCAAAGAAAAATTGACAAAAGACATGAGTAGACATTTCTTAGAAAAGGAAATATGAAGAGATGCTTATCGCGATCAATAAGCAGAGAATTGCAGATCAAGAACATACTGAAACCCTATTTCATACCCAGTCTGATTGACAGAAATTCCAAAGTCCTTTGTCAGATGTGTCTGTTGGAAACCATTTTCTCCTAGTCTGGTGAGTCGTCTTCTCACTCCCTTGACGTTATCTTTTTCAGGGCCAAAGTTTTTAATTTTAATGAAGTTCAACTTGCCAATCTTCTTCATGAAGAGTGCCTTTGGTATTGAAAGTCATTGCCATACCTAAGGCCGTCTAAGTTTTCTCCTATATTCTAGGAGTTTTGTAGTTTTGGCGTTTACATTTAGGTCTGTGATGTATTTTGAGTTAATGCTTGTAAAGGGTGTAAGGTCTTTGTCTGATATATTTTTTTCTTTTTTGCATGTGGATGTCCAGTCCCATGACCATTTATTGAAAAGAATCTGCTCCATTGTATTGCCTTGGCTCCGTTGTCGAAGAGAAGTTGACAGTATTTATGTGAGCCTGTTTCTGAGCACTCTGTTCTGTTCCATTGATCTGTTTGCTAGTCTTTCACTGATACCTGCTGTCATGGTTACTGTAGCTTCGTAGTAAGTCTTGAAGTCAAATAGGGTCAGTCCTCCAGCTTTGTTCTCCAGTATTGTATCGGCTGTTCTGGGTCTTTTGCCTCTTCACATAAACTTGAGAATCAGTTTATCAGTATCCAGAATATAATTTGCTGGGATTTTTATTGGGATTGCATGAAATCTATAAATGAAGTTGTGATGAACTGACATCTTAACAATATTGAGTCTTCCTACCCATGAACGTGGAATATCTCTCCTTTTTTAAATTTTTAGTTTCTTGATTTAATTCATCAGAGTTTTGTGGTTTTCCTTATATAGCTCATGTACATATTTTGTTAAGTATTTGTTGAGTGCTAATATAGATGGTATTTGTGTTTTTAATTTCAAATTCTACATAGTCATTGCTGGACATAGAAAAGCAATTGACTTTATCATATTTATTTTGTATTCTGCCACCTTGCTATAATAGCTTATTAGCCTCAGGAATTTGTTGTGGGGTTTTTTTGTCATGCGTTTTATTTTTAAGTGGCCTGATTCGTTTATTGTTTGAGAGTTTAAAAATTAGTGTTATAAATCTCATAGGTAGGTTCTGTGAGAATGCAGAGTAAAACGGAAGCTGAGGGACAGAGTTTGAGAGGCACCGCTGATCCAGCTAGTGATTAACTGGGGGGTGAGGACACCCCGTGATGTTTTCTTCCCATGGTCTGAGTAAAGATGATTAGCCAGGAACAAGCCCCTCTTCCAGGGTACAGGAAGGTTTCTGTCTGACATCAACAGTAATAACACTTCACTTTAGATAGCCATCTATCTTTTCAAAATGTTTTCATCACCCATCCCATTTCACCTTTATGCCAACTCCATAAGGTAGGTGGAGCAGGTAATTTTCAACCAGTTTGACAGATGAGGAAACTGAACTATGGAATAATTAATTGATTCGCCCCAGGTTACTGAGCTGAACAAAAGCAATTGGAACTGTGACCCCAGAAATTTTAAGTCTCCTTTGGAAAATTTAAATAATAAGTTTGCACTGCTACAAAGGTCAATGTAGGTATTATTACTCAGTTTATAATTCTTTTTGAAAAAAATTCTCAAGAGTCGTTTTATCTCCCTCTCTTGCTTTGATCAGGCCACTGTTAAAGCTAGCTTGCACACGTTGATTAAAAGCGAACTAGACTTTGGGAACACAACCTTGGACTGTTCTGGAAGAGGAAGGAGAACAGTTTAGGGTAAACTAACATTCCCAGAAACAAGAGACTTCATTCAGTAATACTTTGTGTATAGCATTTCCCTATGTATCAGATTGTTTTACGGTCTGTTAAAATTTAAGAAAGGTAAAGCTCATAGGAAATTTATTTCAGTAGAGCAGACACAACCATAAATTAAATTGAAAACATATCAGAGAATTCAATTCATCTTCCTAGCTTGGTCAGATTAGTTGATACTTTTGATAATCATCAAATCAAATTGAGAAAGAAATTTTGCTTTGTATCCTAAGGTGTTCCTCACAGACAAATGGATTTCCTTGAAGATAAATTGAAAGCTAGTACAGTTTTTGTTAAATATTAACAGTATGATTGAAGAACTATTGAAACTGCAGGAAGATCACTGTTTTTCCCTGGCTTTTAAGACAGAGAAGGGGAGAAAACCTTGACGAATTATCGAAGTTTAATATTAATCCTTTATTTTCTTAGAGAAATGATAATTATTTGCTATTCACACAGAGGAATTTTCCTTTTTCTTTTTAATATAGACCCCTTTGAACCACAGCGGCGTCCCCCTGTGAAGAAAAGTCGACAACAACTTCAGCGAGAAAAAGCCCTTCAAGAGCAGAGCCAAAAACTCGGACTGCAAGATGGATCAGCCACGTTACCTCCAGAGCAGCTGCTTTTGGCACCACAACAGAGATTTCAGAATCAAAAGCCACATGTTTCTCCCCTTACTGCTCCTGGTCCTCCTACGCCCACCTCTCCCATTGGTGACAGGAGACCACAGGGCCCTGAAAGTCACCCGAGGGAACTGGGACTTGAAAACTCCTGTGACGGTCACAGAAGTGCTGAGGTTCTACCTTCAGATAGCAGATCGGAGAAAAAGAAAGTGGAATTGTTAGTAAGTCTATATATCCATGAGAAGTTTTTCCATTTTACCTTTTTTTCCCATTGGGCTTTGAAGAAATGTAGTTTTAACATTTTCTGCTTTATATTCTAATCTAGAAATGTGATAAATTGTCAGAAATATAGCTACCACCTAAATATATTATAAACTAGTAAGTGTTAGGCATTTTATATATTTAATGTCATTTAGTTCCTTGTTTTCACCCTTATAGATAAGTTATATTTGGGGCTTGGAATAGCTATTGTATTCCCCAAGCCAATACACAACTAATACATAGTCGAGTTAGGACTCACAAAAATGTCTCTCTGACTCCTGAGGCCATGACCTTTACATTTCCCAGAAACATTCTTATATATGTAGTACTCCTTTGCAAATTTGATACATTCTGCACCTTCCAGACTGCATCTCCATTGGCCCAGAAAAGAGTACTTGTGAAGAGACGTGTAGGGATGGTCAAAGGAAAGAGTGTAGGACATTGAGGATATTAATCAAATAGTTCACTTGAACCATTAGATTTCTTTTTATTCTTAATTAAATTGTTTATATTTAAATCACCTCCAGAATTTAGCTACATCCTTGTGAAAATTGCCATTCTATGACTTGTAAATTCATACAATCAGATATTTTTTACTATGTGACTTATGCTTTAATATCTGTTTAGTATGTTATTTGTTTCCTATGGGTTTATTGCTCGGAGGGAAGAATGGGTGGCATTTGTTTCTGTTTTCCATTTTTCTGAGTCTTTCTTTTTACAAGTTTTTATAATCTCAGCTATTTTTTTTTAATCCTGTGATGATCCAGATTCTGTACTGAGTTTAAAGTACTTCCACCTCCATGGGGTTTATAACCAAGAAATTATTTTGGCAGGAGACACAAAGCTACATGACTCATGAGCCCAGTGTTGAACAAATGAGTACATTTAAATGTCTTTAAGTATAGTTTAACGGCAAAGGCCTGAGAGAAGTGGGAGGTGGGTTTGCATTTAGCTGGGCAATTTAGATTGAGTGTCATAAAGAAAATTCTTAGGTACTTGGGAGAATTTTCACAGAAGACATGTAATCTCTGGAACTATTGTTAAAAAGGAGACATTCTGAGGCTATAAGAAGGAAAAAAGAAATGCTCAGAGATGACATCTCACCTCTCTAGAAGAGGGAAAGGACAGGCCAGAGAACAGTAAAGAATTCGGAAAGTGAAGGACTGCAAAGCACAGGGTCCCTGTCTAGCCAGTTCTAGCAGTGGTATACCACCAAGCCCTCTGAAGGGAGAGACCCTGGTCAGAGTAGTGGTCAGAGAGAACCCAGGTGTCTGTGTTGCAGAACATTGGGAGAGGGTGGGTGGTGAGCTGGGGCTGAGGCATCTGGTGAGGAGGTGCGTGCAGAAGGAGAGATGAGGAAGGACCGGTGGTGCCCGGCACTAAGGTGCAGGCTGTAGAAATGGAGAGAAAGGGGTTGTTTTCGAAGAGCTTACAAGGTCTGGGAAAGAACTTTTTCATATGATGGCTGTAAGAAATGACAATAATAGGAACAAATATCTTTCTCATTACCTTGTTTAATTTGAGTTGACATCACACTGATGAGTCTTCAGGACACTTTAATATACTTCTTTTAGAATTTGACAGATTGGAAGATAATTCATGTTTTCAGGTCTTTGTTTTTCCCTAGCCTAGCATTCAACTCTTAGTTCATAGTGTTTCACTCTGTTTAAAAATATTTCAGAGCTGGAAAGAAGTGAGCAAATTGAAAGAGAATGGCTGAATTAAAAATTGGTTATTGCCCTGAGGATGTCACATGGTGGAGACTTTCATTGTAGAAAACTCTGGAGTCACTTCTGGTCAAGAGGCAGAGTTATGTGTATGCCGTGCTCACCTACTCCCACAACTACATCAGACTTACAACTAAATTATAGGACAATTACCCTTGAGAACTACTTGAGAATTAGTTGAACAGAACTCGTATAATCGAAGAGATCCAGAAAAAGACACAACATACTGGTAGGAGGGGCAGAGAAGTAGAACAGGCAGGGCCCATGCATACTCATAGAGTAACAATTCAGGAGAATCAGGAGGGATGTCTTGGCTGTGGAGAGGTCCCCACTGAGAGGTGAGGGGACCCAACCCCACACCAGCTCTCCATCCCAGGGCAGCAGTGCTGGGATGAGGAGTCCCCACAACTTCTTGCTGTGAAAGTCAGCAGGGATGTACCCAAGTGAAACTGAGGGCTTCAGGAGTCCCAGGCTTTCTTGAGGAGTCTGTGCATGGACTTGCTCACTCACAGACTCACTTGCTCTAAGCCTACGGGGGCAACAGCTTGAAAAGTGGCAGGACATGCAAGGAAGAAATAATTTGCCAGCTTCAGATGAGGACTAGAGGAGCAGGGGGCCGCTTTGGGAACAGAGCACTGGCAGGTGCCACTGTTCCTTTGTCAACCACGGCATATGCAGCCTCAACTATCTCCTAACGAGAGTACCATCCATCTGTTCTGGCGAACCCGGGACCTCACTCAACTCACGTGCCTGGCCTGTGCAGCTTCCAGCAGCCTCCCCACACTAGCAGCCTGCTTCAGCTCAGGCTGTTGGCATTCTTAAAACCTCAAACGTCCACAGTCAAAAGAGCAGAAGCTGTCCTCGCATGCCCTGTACATCCTGCTAAGTGGCCCAAGCGTGACACACGTGAAAACTGATCTTTCAACTTGCACGGCAGCTCCCTTCAGGAGACACCCCCCCCCCCCGGCAAAAGCTGCAGCCAGTGTTGACTCAGAACATACTTTCATCAAGCAGCCACAAACCCAGCACAAGTGGGGACTGAACTCAGCTCACATCATGATGTTCACCAAGGGGTCCCAAGTTTGGCACAAGTGGCAATGGCCTCAGTTGCAGCATAGCCTCTCAATAGCACCTCCCAGCTGAGCACATCAACCAACTGCAGATTACTTTGTAGCTTCAAATAGGTGGTCCCAAGCCGGGTACAAGTGGAGGCTGACCTTGGCCTAATGGAGCTCCTCCTAAAAGGCTTCAGAACCAACACAACCAGTGATGAACTTCAGACTACACCAGAGCATTACCCAACCAACTCCACAAATGATACACCTGAAGGTTTAACTTAGCTGGCACCACAGCCCAGCTAGTCCTCATAGCAACTAAGCCTCAGAGTCAGTCCTACCCACTGATGTGCCAGCAGCAGTCAAGGCTCAGCTACAGCAGGAGAGCACACACTCCCACACAAAGAATATCCCTGGAGCTCAGATGAACAGGAAGACTGCACCACTATGGCCCACAGGACACCTACTACTTAAGGCTACCCTGCCAAGACTGGGAGACATAGCAGCTCTACCTAATACATAGAAACAAACAGACAAGCAAATGAGACAAACACGTCCCAATGAAGGAGTAGAACAAAACCTCAGAAAAAGAACTTAACAAAATGGAAACAAGCAATCTACCAGATACAGAGTTCAAAACACTGGTTGTAAGGTACTCAATGAACTTAAGGGAAGAATAGGTGAACTCAGTGAGAATCTCAACAAGGAAATAGAAACCATAAAAAAAAGAACCAGTCAGAAATGAAGAGTACATTAGAGGGAATCAATATCAGATTATATGAAGCAGAGGATCAAGTCAGCAATCTGGAAGACAATATAGCAGAAAACACCCAACTGGAATAGAAAAAAAAACTTTTTAAAAAACGAGGACTGTTTTAAGGGACCTATGAAACTACATCAAGTGTGTCGATATTTACATCATTTGAGTGCCAAAAGGAGAAAAGAGACGGTAAGGGACTTTGAATCTATTTGAAGAAATAATGGCTGAAAATTTTTCTAATCTAATGAAGGAAATAGATAAGTCCAGGAAGCACAGAGAGTCCCAAACAAGATGAACCCAAAGAGGTCCACAGCAAGACACATCATAATTACAATCCCAAAAGTTAGAGACAAAGAATCATAAAAGGAGCAAAAGAAAAACAGTTATGTACCAGGGAACTACTATAAGACTGTTGGGTGATTTCTCAACAGAAATGTCGCAGGCCAGAAGGGATTGGCAGGAATACTCAAAGTGATGAAAGTCAAAGACCTACAACAAAGAATGCTCTACCCAGCAAGTCTGTCATTGAGAATCAAAGGAGAGATGAAGACTTTCCCACCACTAAACCAGTATTACAAGAAATGTCAAAGGGACTTTTTTAAGTAGAAAAGATAATATCAAAAATGTGAGTAAGAAAATTTTGGAAAGAAATTCTCACTGGCAAAGGCAAACAGCAGAAGCAGTAGGTCAACCAACTATAAAGCTAGTATAAAGGTTAAAAGGCAAAAATAGAAAAAAACGTGTAATTACAATTACACATAAACACAAAAGTAAAAAAGAATGACAATAACAGGAGGGGAGTAAAACTTGTAGTGATTTTAGAATGTGTTACAACTTTAGCAATGATCAACTTAAACTGCTATAAACACACTTTGGTATGTAAGAAGCATGAGGTAACCACAAAGCAAAATATAAGGAATATACAAGAAAAAAGGAATCCGAACACAATGCTATAGAAAGTCATCAACATAAAAATGAGAGCAAGAGAATAAGAAAGGAACAGAGAAGAACTACAAAAGCAATCAGAAGGCAAGAAAATGGCAATAACCACATACCTATCAATAATTACTTTAAATAGAAAAAAATGTTCCAACCAAAGGACACAGGGTGGCTGAATGGATAAAAGAACAAGACCCATCCATACAGGTGCTGCCTACAAGAGACTCACTTCAGACTGAGAGATATGCACAGACTGGAAGTGAAGGGATGGAAAAATAACTTTATGCACATGGAAATGAAGAAAACTTGGGGTAACAATAATTATATCAGACAAAACAGACTTTAAAACCAGGTCTATAACAAGAAGCAAGGGCATCTCAATGATAAAGGGGTCCGTCCAAGCAGAGGATATAATTCTCATAAATATACCTACACACCCAACATAGGAGAACCTAAGTATATTAAGCAAATATTGATGGACATAAAGGGAGAGATGAGCAGTAATACAGTAACAGTAGAGGACTTGAACACACCACTGGTATCAATGAATATATCCAGGCAGAATATTAACAAGGAAACAGTGGCCTTAAATGATGTCAGGTGGGATGGATTTCATTGATGGTTTTAGGATATTTGATCCAAAAGCAGCAGAACATACTTTTCAAGTGTATGTGGAACATTATCCAGGATAGACCACATGTTGGGCCACAAAACAAGTTTCATAAATTCAAGATTAAAATCATACCAAATATCTCTGATGCAGTGGTATGGAACCAGAAATTAATTATAAGAATAAAACTGAAAAACACATGAAGGCTAAATAACAAGCTACTAAAGAAGCAAGAATAGCCCTGGCTGGTGTGGCTCCATGGACTGAGTGTCAGCCTGTGAACGGAGGGGTTGCCAGTTCAGTTCCTGGTAGGGGCACATTCCTGGGTTGCAGGCCATGTTCCCAGTGAGGGGATGTGCTAGAGGCCACCACACATTGATGTTTCCCTCTCTCCCTCCTTTCCCCCCTCTAAAAATAAAATACATATTTTAAAAACAAGCATATACAATATAAAAAAATTCTCTTCAATAAATGGTTTTGGGGAAACTGGACAGATACACATGCAAAGGAATGAAATTCAATCATTTCCCTACACCATATACAAGAATAAACTCAAAATGGATTAAATACTTCAATGTAAGACCCCAAACCATGAAACTCCTAGAAAAGACAAGTCAGTAAATTCTTGACTTTGCTCTTAGTAATATATCTTTTTGGATATGTCTTTTTGGGCAAGGGAAAAAAAATGAGACTACATCAAACAAATTTTTTGCATAGCAAAGGAAACCAACAACAAAAAACCTGAATCTACTGAATAAGAGAAGATATTTGCCAGTGGTACATCCAATAAGGGGTCAATATCCAATGTATATCAGTAATTCATACAACTTAATATTTTAAAAAATCCGATTATAAAATTGGCAGGCAGAGGATCTGAGTAGACATTTCTCCAAAGAGGACATATAGAAAGCCGATGGACATGTGAAAATATGCTTAACATCACTAATCAGGGAAATTCAAACTGAGATCACAATGAAATAACACCTCACACCTGTTAGAATGGCTGATATCAATAAGACAAATAACAGGTATTGGTGAGGATGTGGAGAAAAGTGAACCCGCGCGCACTGTTGGTGGGACTGTAAATTGGCTCATCCACTGGAAGAGGGGAGATTCCTCAGACCAGTAAAAACAGAACTACAGTATGGCCCAGCAGTTCCATTTCCAAGTACTTACCCAAAGGAATCCAAAACTCTCACATGAGAAGGCACGTGCACACCTATGTTTATTGCAGCATTATTTATAGTACCCAAGATATGGAAGCAGTTGGTAGAGTGGATAAAGAAGAGTGGTACATGTGTACAGTAAAATATTGCTCATCCATTGGAGACAGACAATATGGATGGACCTAGAAGGTATTATGCCAACTGAAGTAAGACAGGAAAACATAACCACGTGATTTCGCTTAAATGGGGAATCTCAAAAACAAATGAACAAATAACAGAAATAAACTCATAGGTAACAGAAAACAAATTGATGGTTGCCAGATGGGAGGAGGTTTGAGGAACGGGTGAAAAAGATGAAAGGGTTAAGAAGTACAAATTGGTGGTTATAAAAATAGTCCCAGGAATGTAGAGCATAGGGGATATTAGTCAATAACACTAATAACTATATGTGATGTCAGATGGGTACTCAGTTTATCAGGGCGATGACTTTGTAAGTTATATAAACATCTACTGCTGTGCACCTGAAGTTAATATAAAATTGTGTGCCAAGTGTAATTGATAATCTTTTGTTAAAAATTTAAAAATGCACATTCAATCTGGAGAAAAATAAAAAATTTCTGGGCATACAAAGAAGCAGGAAATTGTGATACATAACCAGGAAGAAAGTCATCAAAAGAAACATGCAAAAAGATGGGGATTATCAGGCAAAGAATATTTAAGCAGCTATTATAAATATGTTCCATGTGCCCAAGAATGGAGAATATAAACTGATTTAATGATTAAATCATTAAAATGATTTTTAAAAGAACTTTGAAAGATAGAACATGACATTAGCTACAGACCTATTTATTTTACTTCCCATTTTGCATATAATACATAATTAACTTACACAAGTTTCTTTGTACTTCTAAAAAATGCCTCACCGTTCTGGCTTCCAGTTTGTGGGTTCCTAGGTTATGTACATATAATGGATTTCAAAGGGCCAATTTATGTAAGCCTTCTTTACTTCAAATCATAGTCTTTGTTTCTATTAGAACAAAATAATGAGCTGCAGATGGGTTCCTTTTAACAGGACTTTAAAAAATATATACATAATCTGGCTGATTAAATTTTATACGGAGGGGACTGAGACTGGTAAGGTGTGGGGTGAGGTTTCAGAAAGTCATTTTTATACGTTTTTGCTCCCTAGGCAAGAAAAGTCTCGCTGGGAAGTCCTCCAACAAGAACAGCGGCTAATGGAAGAGAAAAATAAACGTAAGAAAGCTCTTTTGGCTAAAGCTATTGCGGAAAGGTGAGGCACCCGACCCAGGAGAGGTTGTGTCAAACGTGCGGTCAGCTTTCTCATGTTTTATATTTTTATTTTCCCATGTTGATTCTCATAGACTGACATTTTCTTGACAACCATTATTTTCTAGGCTAACTAAGCAAATTACGCTTTATAAATTATACTGACATTCTGGTGTTAATTTAGTAAGGAGGACTTTTTAACTATAGATCGTAACAAGTTTATTGACACTGGTACAATTACAACTCAGGATCAACATCAGCATTTTCGGTTTTAACTATCTATGCATTCATAAGGGAGCAATGAAGAACTATCAGTACAAGTAAATTAACAACCGGTGCAGGTGTTCATCTCGGTACTTAGGGGCCTTTGTCACCTAACATGTAGATGATTAAGATTGTTCTTCATAAGTGACTTACACTCCCCCAGATCTTGTGTTCCCTTCCTAAGGACGTTTTTCTTAAATAACTCACCCTGCCCTCACAGAAGATAAAAGCTAACCTCTCATGGATGGCTGGGGTCACTGGTGTGCACTGGCCGGCACTGTGCAGTCCGCACCTCCCAGTGGCAATGTGTCCGAGACCCCCGCCTCCTTTCCTGCATTGTGTGGGCCCTGAACAGTGACATTCCCATCTGAACCACCGTCCCCTCCCTCAGCTGCTTGTCCTGTGGGGCCCCAGGCAACCAAGCTTAGTCAACGAAGCAGCGATTGACAACACCAAGAAGTAAATGGAAGCCAGCATCAGTGGCATTTGTTCTTTTTAGATTGCCAGAAAAGTCTGGCAAACCAGTTGTTGAGTGGCACTGATGTAGGGTCAGGGAGGGGAAGGAGTCCGGATGGAGAGACGGGCCAGTAGGTGGAACAGTAATTCAGATGCATACTGTGCCTCTTTGGCAGGTGCTGTATGTATTGGAAAACGACTTTTTTCTCCTGGTTTACCTTAATCTTTCATGAAGCTTAGGAAATAATACTACTTACTGAGTTTATGTTTCAAGGGGAAAAAAACCATGATTACTGAAAAGTGACTGTTGGAAAGCATGTTAGTCTGCAGTATGGAGGAGGTTCTAGAGGCTTTTACTGGGGATTCGACCCAAAAATGTACAGGCTTAGTGTGTGTTCTGTGCGTGTTTTTCATGTGAGACAGAAAGCACTGATGTAAGCTGATTAGATCTAATAAGTGGACAGGGAAGCCCAGTACTTGTAGTAAAAGAGGAGCACTAGCAACTTTTACAGGCAGAAAACAAGGACAAGTGCATATATAGAGTGGAGGTCAAGAGGCTGCACGTTGCAGTGCAGTGGTTTTGTGTGGGGGGTTATTCTCCTGTGAGAATGTGTGTGAAAGTTTGAAATGAGTGAAATCATGATTAAGGGGCGGCTTTTGCCTTTGTTTATTCTATTCCTCAGTGTGTAATATACTTGGGAGTGATGAGGGAGCAGAGATGGTGAGGTTGGATTGCCTTTAAACCAAAAGAAGTGCCTGATTTTGAGCTCCATGAAGAACAATTTTGAGGACCTGTAGTTTTGCCTAAAGAACAAGAGTCAAAGGAATAAAAGTTTGGGGAAATGAGTCCTACGGAAGTTAAAACCAAATAGATGTTTTTAGACATAAGAAATGATGTTTGATGTAGGCCTCTGTTCTTGGTGTCCACTAGGCATCGAACAAAGGAAAAGGTTGGCTTAGTGAGAAGAATTTAAAACTAGAGATTTGGAAAGTAACATCAATGACGTTCCAGTGTAAAGGAACTACAAATATGTTCTTTTAGAGCATATTCTTGTTTTTATGGAATGAATACAGACCCGTGAGTGAACTATTATTTTTAAATCTTTTTTATGAAAAGATCCCTCATGTATGAAAATCATCTATACTAACAGAAAACTTGAAATAATAAGGGGAAGAAGTGCAAACGCAGTCTTAGAGATATACCAAAATGTTACCAGCATTTGATTTCAATTTTTCTTTTTTCTAATGAAAAAAAATTATACGTTATGTTCATATTGTATATACGGTAGCTTGCTTTTTTTCACTTACACAGTATGGATACATGGTTTTGTAATGTTCTCCCTTCTCCATTCGTGTTCCTGCTCTTCCAGGTCTAAAAGAACTCAGGCAGAGACCCAGAAGCTGAAGCGGGTGCAGAAGGAGTTGCAGGCTTTGGATGACATGGTGTCAGCAGACATCGGAATTCTCAGGAACCGGATTGACCAGGCCAGTCTGGACTATTCCAATGCTCGGTGAGTTGGGGAAATTGTGTTCTAAACAAGCAGTTCAGTTTAGTTAGAGTTTGTTGCTAGCTGGGCCAGCACCATTTACGGGTATCATCATCGCCACCTCGTAACAAGCACATCAGGTGCTGCATTTACTCCTCTTAATGGGAGTAGTATTGAGTGTGTCTCCTCTTCATGAGTCTCCCTTCACGTTGCTGTACGGTCCATGTTCCCATTAGAGCATCCCTTACACTATTTATCTGCGTCTGAGTCTTTCCTGCCGATGCATCAGGTATCTGACGTTTGGGACCCTGCAAATACCTGAAAGACTTGCCCCCAAACCACAGTTCTAACACCCAGTCTCTGCTCTTTCTGTTAAGAAGTTTTGATTGTCATGCTCCTTAGGGATCAGCTTCGTTCTCATTTCAGTTTTCATTAAAGACAGATCTAGTTTACTTTTTAAAGTCTATGAGTACTTTAAAGAAAATACCAGTCTGTCTTGAAAGCTTTGAGTTTTTTCTTTTCGATTATATTCTGTGTAAATAGTTCACTATCACGTGTTTCAGACATTGGCATTTTTTGAAGAGAAAAAAATCATCATGGAGTAGTTTTTAAATGAACTAACACATGTAAAGAATTACGCGAACTTTGCAAGCAGATAAAAAGGCAAAAAATTAAGTCCAATTTTCAGGGTTTTCAGTCCTTTCAACATCGCTTTAATCATCCCGGTTTGTCTTTTTTCACAAGGGAATGCTGTGTTAATGACTCGGTTTTGCATCTCTCTCTGTAACACTAGAAATCAATCAGAATGCCTCATTAGTCCAGGGTGAACCACAGCATCAGAATGTTTATATAACAATTTAATAAAGCGGAAATGCTTGATTGTGGTTTTTAATTCACTGTTTATTGTTTAAGAAAGAGTTTGCGGTGTCCTTGTGATTTTTGTAATTGTTGCTTGACCATATGCTGTTAGACTTAATGGGTTGCCTAAATTAATGCCATCAGTAGCTGATAACTAGAGGTTCCAGATTTCTACTAATAGGGTCATTAAGGAGGTGACCAAGATTTTATTAAGATTAAACTAAGCCTGGATGTTTAGCACATTTTATTCTCTGTAAGTTAAGGTTGCCAGAGGAACTTTTTTTTTCTTTTTTGCTGTTGCAGCCCTTTATACGAATAATTCATATTACTCTGGATACCGCAACAGAAACATCATCTGTTTTGATTCCATCCTAGAGGAGGCTGGAGAAGGATGCCTTTGTCCATTGAACAATTACATGTTAAAAATGTCCTAGTTTTAGCCATTGAGAACCAGAGAAGGTGGGATTACCGGTTAAAGGAGAAAAAGTTCCTTAATATAGAAATACTTGTAATGAAATTTTAGTTAATTCTTACATAATAAAAACTTACCATGTAAAATTTTTTACACCTCCAGCTAAGAATGACAATTTCTCATGGTACTGATACTGACGTCGTGGTATGTGAATATCTGTATTGCAGGTGTGAGGCTGTTTTTAAAAATCTCACAGGCAGCTGTGATTAGGGCCGGCATTGTATTTTGTTCATGCAGAAGATAAAATCTCCTGAATTTATGTCTGTGGTTATTGAGAAATTATAGGTTGGTGGTACAACATTCTGGTCCAGGTTTCTTCTGACCCCCAGGGTAGTCCATTTCTGTGGGAGGTTTCCTTGATTTTAAAAAAAATATACATATAGGTACATAGGCCTGGAACAGCGCTGTGTCCACGGAGGTCCTGGATTCCCCGGAGACCAGGCTTCTGTGGGTCAGTGTTGGGACGCACAGCCCCGAGGAGACCAGCACGCGAGCGAGCCAGCCCCAGACTGCTGCCTGCGCTGCTGTTGGCGGCGACGGCAACAGTGCGGCATATGCTGCGCAGACCAGCCTGTGAAACTCAGAGCGGCTGCGTGTAGAACAGTCCTTTAACCCTCCATGTACCGGGAAGAACAGTCGTCACTGCTTGCCATCCATGTTTAATAGGCACTGCCCCCCCACAGGCACACACATGCACATGCACAGGTATGTTCTGAGTCATTCTGTGAGTAGTTCACAGATGTAAGAATAAAAGGGGTTGTAGGAAAAACTGTATGGAAAATTGTAATGGGAACATAAGCATCACAAACTGCTTTGTATCAAGTACTGTTTGACTCCAAAACTTACAAAAAGCTGAAAGAATGTGGCACTACAAGACAGTCCAAATACTTATAAAATACCAAGTGATTAAGTTCTTCCTGTTGAAGTTATTAACTATGAAAATAACATTGTGTTTTTATCCTCTTTTCACTGATTGAGTCTTGAGTTGAGGAACTTCATCTTGGTGTGTTTTCTGAAGACTACGGGCTGAGCTCTCACTCACACGACCAGTCTCACTGTCGAGTCCAGCCAGTGTATGTCTGCATTGGCGTTGGTTTCCCGGGGCTGCTGTAACAAGTTACCACAGACGGGGGTCTCAGAACAGCAGAAACTGACTCTTGCATTTCCCTGAAAGCGGTGTGTGACGTCCAGGGTCACTCTTCCTTCTGGGTGCTGGGGGTGAGGAAGTGACTGTCTCTGGGGGGTCATTTGTTAGCTGCCCACATTTATCTTTTAATTTGTGTAATAACTGCGAAATGTTTTCATCTGCCAATTTTCTCTGCCACTAGGACAGAAAATTTTTTTAATTTTTAATTCTCAACTGTGTTCAGTGAAAGCCAAGAACAGATTACAGATAGGGGGTTACCAGTCTTTCACACCTTCTTGAAAGGTGATGTGATACTTTGGACAACACAGTAAGGAAATGAAACGATGATGATACATTTCTTTATATAATCCTTTTAGGTCATCTCATCATTCCCCTTTTTCTTATTTTAATGTTTTAGCATAAATAAGAATAATTGGTAAGTAACAAGGAAATACTTCCTAGGGTGGTGAAATGACAGAATGTGTTGAGATGCATGAAAATGTATCTCAGTGATCCAATAATGTGCCTTAGATTTATAAAAGAATCCAGTGGACTCGTAATAATTTCAAATTATGATTAGTGTCAGTCTACTTTTAAAATTATAAGTAAGTTTTCTCTTTGTTCTCTGGACGGCTTCTAAGAAAGGATAGAAAAGCATGGTCTGTTGATCCTTACAGACAGTTATAACTGCTCATAAAAGGAACTGAAAACTAAAAGTGGATCCATGGAGCCTAATGGCATGCTCAGGGTTAATGATTGAGTTTGGGGGGGGGGGGTTCCTTGTTGTTTTGTTTTGTTCTGTTTTAATTCCAGGGAAACTCAAACCAAGAGGGTTTCTAGAATCCTGAAAATAGCATTCATGAAATCATTCAATGTCCCTTTAAAATAACAAAGTAATTCCTTAGCTGCAGTGCCGTTCAGTCGCTCTCCCTGCGTTGTGCAGACTGCGTTTACTGTTCTGTTCCAGCATATTTAACGTTCCAGCATGTTTAACGTTCCAGCGTGTTTAATGTTCCAGCGTGTTTAATGTCCCAGAGCCCGTGCACCGTCACACTGATGCGGTGCATCCACCGGCAAATAATCAATATTCTAAACCTAAGTCACTCCGTATAAGAATGCATATGCATGTTTCTGGCCAGGAGGACTTACATAAATAAACAAATGCAGAATCTTCGGTGATTTATCCAGTGTGAAGGATCAATGAAAACCTGGGGACCTATTTGCAAATCTTCATTTCAATTCAGCATTCATGAGCCCAGTCAGTAAATCTTCTCTCCCCGACTTTGACTGGCTGAGGGAGACCACAGGCGTGCAGAGAGGGGGTGGGGCTGGGGTGGAAGGGGTACGTGTTCACCTACCTATAGCGGGTGTTGTCAGAGCTCTTAAGCTGGATGCCAGAACATTCACACACAGGATGCCTTGTACAGCATGGAAGTATGGGACCCAGACACCCAGCAGAGCTCCTTTAGAACAGGTCTCTTAACCTCGAGGGTAGTGGGAAGACACCTAGTTTTCTCGCTCTTACACTTTCTAGATGACAGTCAAAGAAAGGAAATATGATGAATGCTATGTAAGAGTTTTTCAAGTATAAACACCAGATGCTTACATAATTTTTGTTTTAGATATGTGTGTAGCGATACACTGATGGTGCTTTTTGATCCTGGTGCTCTGGAGGGGAAGTTCTGTTTCTCGAGGACCTGCCAGCACAGGGCCAGACACTTGCCCCAGTTACGTGATGTAATGCTATACACTCTGAGGAAGTGCTGTTCTTGTCACTGTTCCACAGATAAATGAGCACTCGGTCGAAGAAACCGCCTGGGGTCACTACACCAGCATTTCACTCGTTGCACGCCTGGGCTCGGACCCCTTCCACAGGCACCCGGCTGCCTTTGGTCTCATGATGCTGACCGGACTCGTCTCTGATTAGAATGGAGATAAACTACCAACTCCAAAGAACGTTTAATCTGCAGGCTAACTGAGGGCTCCTGGGGTAGCCTGTCACCGTGAGCTCTGTGACGAGCAGGGGCCCAGGCAAGCCCGCTCAGGTAAAAAGCGGGTCGTTCCAGGCGACGAGGGGCAGCCTCACGGGCACGTCATCACATCAGAGACCATCCTCATCCGTTTGCGTAGACGCCGAAGTTTGCGAAGAGCGCTGGGGCTCTCCAGTCGTGCTGAGCCCAACGTGGCCACCAGCTGTGGTTCCCCATCAGATCCTCCCCACTCCCCGCTCAGTGTTCTGATCCCCAGATCCCAGAGATCACTGTCCTCCTCCTCCCTAAGAGTTCTCCGTTTCTGACCCATCAGTCAAGAGAGAGATTTCTCAACAACAGACCCCATTAAAAAAGAGCAGAGGACCTGAATAGACACTTTTCCAAGGAAGATACACAGATGGCCAACAGGCATGTGAAAAGATGGTCAGCCTGTAGTTACAAGGGAAATGCAAACCACAACCACCATGAGATACCACCTCACACCTGTTCAAATGGCTGTTATCAATAAGACAAGAAATAACAGGTGTTGGAGAAGATGTGAAGAAGAGGGAACTTGTATGTTCCTGGTGGGAACATAGATGGTGCAGCCACTGGGAAACCCCCACTCGGGAGGTTTCTCAAAAAATGAGTTGAGCTGCCTTACAACCCCAGCAATCCCTTTTCTGGGCACCTGCCCCCAAAGTTTGAGAACACTTACTGGTAAAGCTATATGTCCCCCTGTGATCCTTGCAGCTTTATTCACAGTCATCAAGCCATGAAAACAACTTCAGTTGGATAATTAGATAAAGCAGATGTGGTACATATATAAATGGAATAGTACCCAGTCATAAAAAATGTGAAGTATTAACTATACGCAACAACTTGAATGGATCTTGAAAGTATGCTAAGTGAAATAAGACGGGACGAGAATTGTGTGATATACTCTATGTGGGGTATGAAACAAAAAGCAACCAACAAACAAGCGAAACAAGAAAACTCAGCCGTAGACAGAATGCTGTTTACCAGCAGGAAAGGAAGAAAGGGAGGCAGACGGGGGGTAGTGGGGGTCAAACACAAGGTGACAGAGGGAGACTAGACCCAGTGGTGAGTGCAGAATTCAAGTACACAGCTGTGTGATATAGTGTGATTACTAACCAGTGTCACCCCAATACATTTAAGGTAAATGACAGAGATGCTGATTTTTCTACTTTCTCCATCTCTTCCTGTTCTGTGCCACTCACACACTTGACCGGAAGTGCGCTGGAGCCAGCTTGGTTCATGAGAGCACATTCAAGTGCGTCTTTTCCCAGTCTGCATTCAGTCACATTGGGGGCTTGAAATTGGTCACTGACACCACAGAAATCGACAAGCGCTGCAGATCAGGGCTCTCCCCCTCAGAGCGTGCGTAGCCCTGGATTAACCCTCTTGGCCTGCTTTCATTTAAGTAGCATGGAAGGAGGAAATGAGTGCACACAAACATTGTTATGTTAGGAGAGTCCAAGTGCGCGTGTGGTGGGAGTTTCGGCAGCAACAGCCTGGTCTGTCTTAACGTGTAGACAAGAGTTCATAAAGCCTTAATAGCCATACCTTCATTATATATTGTTTCTAAATTCTGAAGTTTAATTGTTGCTTTTCAGCCCTCCTTTCTGCAATGAAGAACTAATGGACCTCTTGTACCTGTCCCTGCAGGAAGCGGTTTGACAGGGTGGAAGCAGAGTATGTTACGGCCAAGCTCGACCTGCAGCGCAAGACTGATATTAAAGAGCAGCTCACCGAGCACCTGTGTACGATCATACAGCAGAATGAGCTCCGCAAGGCCAAGAAGTTGGAGGAGCTGATGCAGCAGCTGGATGTCCAAGCCGATGAGGAGTCTTTGGAGCTTGACGTGGAGGTAGAGAGATTGCTGCACGAACAAGAGGCAGAAGCGGGGAGACAGAAGGTCCGTGGGGAGAGTGTGGCTTTAGGGCCTGCTCAGAACAAAAAGCATCAGGCACCAGCTGCTTCCCCGAAGGTACATGGACAGTGTGGAAATTCCAGGAGCGCTCCCCTGCGCACTCCAGACCACCCGAGTCAGGAAGTGAAAACGGCTGTAAATGACGACGCAGCTGCTCCGAGCACGTGAAGTGCCGGTGTCTGTTGCTGTCAGCTGATGTAGTGCTCAGTGAACTTTCTGTTGTGGTTCTGCTGTGACCTCTGGTGAAGGCCTCTTTAAAGCAATGCTAATTTTTGAATCTCTGATTGGCTTTATGATAACATGTTTGGTCATTGCAAAGACTCCAATGATGATAATTTTATACACGGGGGCATAGTTCACCCTAATGTTGGGCCATTTCTCTTAGTGTACCCTTATTTGGGATAAAACCAAGTGACTTAAAAGGGTAGAAGAAAAACTACAGGGCCATGAGTGTTTTTAGAGCAGGTAAATAAAAGTAAAATGAAAAATGGTAATACCTCATCAAAATCATGTAACTTCTGGGAGAAGGCTGAGACTGAGAATCCTACTATGTGTCATCAGTAAAGAGACAAAAAATAAACATGAAAAAGAGAACAAGAAACAAAAAAAACAAGTAGTATTTGGATCTTACTAGATTATTATCTCTGGATCATACTAGAATTACAAATACAACTTCACAATTACTGGACAACTTAAGCCAACGTTACTGTTGGATTCGATTTGCCTTTTAAGTGTCTTTAGTTTACAACCTGAATTTTGATTAGTTGACACACACAAACATATGTACATACAATATGTCATGTATAATTTTACTGTTAACAAGTTGTCTTTAATCAGCATATTGACTGGTCATATTAGACTGAAAGCATTTCTACAGTGAAGCTGAAAATAAAACCTTGCCACATTTTATTATGAAAAAACACATTTTCTTTCCAACGTTTCTTGTAAATATGTATTTTATGTGTCATAAATTATCCTGTCCTAAAGCATTTAAATGGTTAAAATGATGGTTTTCTTACTGCTTTAGTTTATTCATTATCATCACTAATACTCGACCACTACATTGTGCTGTATGTAAGTGTGCAATTAAGTATTGTAATTGTGTCACAAAATCTGTGAATATCACATTCAGTTCTGATTCATTAGAAATTCCAAACAGTAAAGTCATGCATTTGAAGTCTTAAATAAAAGAGGATAAAGACAGGTATCATATTGTATCCACAGAAATCCTGAGAAAGATTTTTTATGAGTTTGAGGATATTATTTTCTAGTAACGTGGATGAGCTCTGTATTTTTATATGATGTCACTGACCTAGAGACCTAGCTTTCCATCACTGACTTCTCCAAACAGAGGCGTTTGTATAGGTAGTGGTGTTGCTACGTATGGGCAACGCATGTAAACACCAAGAGCTTCCTTGTCCAATGTGGCCCTATTTTTCTAAGGAATAAACAAGTCTGATGCACTCATAATGTGGTCTCTCATTTACCTTCAAAAAAAATTCCACAGCTTAGTATACATTCCTTTTTTTTTTTTTTTAAGTATGTATTTTTGGGCAGTGTGTGGCAGGAATGCATCCTGAATCTCCATGTGGTAGGTACAATCATCTACTTTTACGGGAACCTCTGTTAGGGAAGATTCATCATTAAACGGGGTTCTGTAATATTGGCCAAATACACATAGGTACAATCGAATAGTCAGTGTAAGACTTTAAGAAGTTATCAGCCCTGGCTGGCCTAGCTAGCTCAGTGGATTGAGCGCGGGCTGCAAACCAAAGGGCTGCCAGTTCCATTCCCAGTCAGGACACATGTCTGGGTTGTGAGCTAGGTCCCCAGTGGGGGGCACACGTAAGATGAAATCACACATTGATATTGCTGTCTCTCTCGTCCTCCCTCTCCCTAAAAATAACTAAATAAAGTCCTTAAAAAAAGTTACCACATAGGTGTATGGGGAAGTGAGAACCAGGACATAAGTGACGGTGGATGGAACCTCGAAGATCATCTAAAGTAATCACCTCCACACGAGGAATTTGAAGTAGAGATTCCAATTACATGACCTTGGCTGACCAGCTCACTGTAAACTTAATAGTAAAGTCATAGTTCTAAACTTTTTTTTTTTATCAAAGCAAATCTCAGCTACTTTTTTTCCCCTTCCCCTTCTTCCTACCATTATTCCCCTCCTGCCTGTTCCATGTTTCCATCTCTGGTTCTATTTTGTTCGTTAGTTTATTTTGTTCATCAGATTCCTCTTATAGGTGAGATCATATGGTATTTGTTTTTCACCAACTGACTTCACTTAGCATAATCTCCAGTTCCATCCACGCTGTTGCAAAATTTCTTTTGCTGCGTAATATTCCATTGTGCAGATGAACCACAGTTTTTGATCCACTCATTTACTGATGGGCACTTGGGCTGGTTCCAGCACTTGGCAGTTGTAAAGAACACTGCTGCGAACATAGGGGTGCATAAGTTCTTTCGAATTGGTGCTTTGGGATTGTTAGGGTATATTCCCAGCAGTGGAATGACTGGTTCAAAAGGCAGTTCCATTTTTAGTTTTTCAAGGAAATTCCTTAACTTTTTCACAGTGGCTGCACCATTCTGCATTGCCACCAACAGTGCACTGGGGTTCATCAAAAAGAAAAGGGAACCAACCAATGATGCATCGGACAAAGGTTTGATCTCCAAAATATATAAAGAACTCATGACTCATCACCAGGAAGACAAACAACCCAATTAAAAAATGGGCAAAGGATCTGAACAGACACTTCTGCAAGGAGGACATCCAGAGGGCCCACAGACATATGAAAGGATGCGCAACATCACTAGCCATCAGAGAGATGCAAATTAAAACCACAGTGAGATATTACCTCACACCTGTCAGAGTGGCCATCGTTAATAAATCAACAAACAAGTGCAGTTCTAAACTCTCGATGTATCTCTTCCCTCTTGAAAATGCTGCCGTAGAACCCATCCAGGGGTTGTGTTTCTGCGTGGGAAATGCTTTCACATCGGTTGGTCCGTGGGCCATTGAAACCCTTATTCTGGAAAACTTACCTTGCTCGGCTTTCCCAGGGTGGTATCCGCAGGCGCAGGTGATGATACAAGTGACGGGGTTCTATTGCATCAGTTTTGCACGAGGCAGCTGTAGCCCACGTGTGAGAGGAGCACGAGCCAGTGCAGGAGACCTGGGGCGCCGTGGTATGAGGACCATATGCACTGGCTTCTCCAGGACAGCCCTGATGGCTTTTAAAATCATAAAATACATCCAAGAGACTTTTGATATATGGATTCACAAATCCACAGTAATTGTTCGTTTCTGCGAAGGAAATTATTGGTTCAGAATGGCTGCCATGAGTTTATTGGGCCACTTTGCAGAGCTGACCTTAGAGTTAAATTCCTGCTCTCTTCCAGGTCTCAGGGAGTTGGACAGTGAGGTTGGCCGGGCTCCCGATGTGCTCTGAAATTGAGGAGTTAACTACTTTGTGTTTTCTCACCTGCTCTGTGTAAATATGGTCTTTACCAAATCGTTGTAATTTTTACTCAGGATTTTTAAAAAGCATACTCAAGAATAAACTGAATTCCCGAGTTTAAGAGTTCTTCTACTTGGACTCCCTACTCCTTTCTTTAAAATAGAGCCATTTTTATCAGTGTCAGAGAAGAAGAATTCCTTAAAACACGGTTTGTGTTGCATTTAAAATAAGGAGTTTTCCTCAAATTTTTCACTTCTGCATAATTCTGCTGACTGAATTATAGCAATTGCAGGTAGTAAATCTTTGTACTCACTAAGAGCACAGCTGGTTTCCAAGTCAGATGATAAAAATCTGACTGGAATTCCTAGAACCAGTTTCATTGCTGGATTGGCATTTGAATCGAAGAGTAAAAACTCGGCTGTAAACCTCTCCTGCTCTTTGTCTGGGTTTGGCAGCGCGGAGCTCCCAAGGAGCGTTATCTCCCTACTCAGCAACTTCCTCTTCCTAGGCACTGGCAGAGAGCAACTCCAGTTATTCTGACCCAGGCCATTCCCCGTGACCTTTACAAATGATGTTTTGGGTTTTGTATTTCTAAGGAGCCAAGTCAGCATTTCAAAAGGCCCTGAAAGGTATAACTCAGGCTGCCAGACAAGACCTGGGGCCCTCTGGACCAGGGTAATTATACCCTCACAACACAGATCTACCCCAGGCCTGACTTGAACCACCCTCTGGAGGGATGGAGCAGGACACTGATTTTCAGTCTGCCGTCACCTCAATGTCGGGCCACTTTTGCAAGCTCCTAATCCCAAACAGCTGTCTTAAAAACGCACCATCATCCCTATGCAATTGATGAAACAACTGAATATAGCTACGTACATGGACAGAGCTCCGTAAGAGGTCAGTAGGACCTGCCTTTTGTCTCTAAGAAGCTTCTAGTCTACTTGAAGGACTAAGATTGACACTCTTAAAACAAATGTCTTATTAATGAGAGGACAGAATACATGGTAGGAACACTGAATATGGACGCATCCTCCAGAAGTCCCCAGATTTTCCAACACTTTTAATTGTAAATATTCTGTCCAGTTGGTTTGCAATCTAAGACTGTACCTAGGACCTGCCAGGTCTTCCAGTTTGCTGTTAGCCTTGGGGAATAACACACACAACCAAAACAACAACAAAACCTCTGTTAGACAATATGTCCAGATTTTGAGTTTAAAAAAAATGTAGTCACCAGAGCAAGAGTAAATTGGAAAATGGGGAAGTTTTTGCATGTCACTGATTTAAAACAGTGGGCCCACTGGGATTTATCAGTGAAGGAAAAACAAAAAACAAACTTCAAGCATTGGGAAAGTTAACTTTAAGCACATGCCTTTCTGACAAAGGACTGATAGTATCTCCTTAGGTGCAGCGTAGCGTAGTTGTAAGGCCTCACTGCCATGATTCAAGGCTGAACCAAGGGGCAGTAGTTACCGCCCAAGCCAGAACGACATGGAAATGGAGCAGATGGGTGTGAACGCAAGGATAACTCAACGTGGATGCCTGTTCCAAGTCACGCGTAAGAGAGGTCTTGCCTAGCCAAATGGCTCTGGGAGCCTAAAGCAGAGCCGTAACGAAGCGATGAGACTTGACAGGGAGCACATTTCTCGGTGAGGGTAGCGGGCCTCAGGGATAAGTCCCTAGGCCCCGGGTTCACACGAGGAGTGAAATAACCGTGCGGTGTACAGCATCACCCTGCTGGAGGGAGGAGGAGGATAAAAGGAGGGATGGCGGTTAGCAGGGCCATTTTGTAAGCTGCTCTTTCAGTCGTCGGGTAGCACTGCTTTGTGTATACAGTACGCTCCAGCATGAGTTGTACCCAACCTCCAGAAGCTCTGTCTACAGCAGAGCCTTCATTTAGGTCAAAACCCTGCAGAACTGTCCGTCTTCTCTTGGTCTTAGCCAAGCAAAAACCAGGCAAAAAGACGCAAACAAACTTGAAAGTGCACAGCCATGTAAATGGCTTGCCGTCTGGTAGAATTATAATTACACTCGCTTACACCTGGCTTTTATAACTGCGAAGGAGTTGAATCAACCACATTGAGTCATTTTCAGTATTTTAGCTCGTTTTTCTCCTGTGCACTTTCCTCAGAAACTACCAGTAGACGTGGCTCCGTGTCTCTTAGGTCCAGAAACATCTGCAGCCTTCTGGTCTGAGCTTTCCCTTCGCTACCACTGAGCTGCTGCGGGAGCTCAGCTGGGGGAGCACTGTAGAGCTAGTGACCAGCTGCGCCCCGCGCTGTGCGGGAGATGGGCCCTTCCCTGGGATGACAGGTGAGAGTCCCAGTAGCTGTGAGGTGGGCTGAAAATCTCCAGACTCCGGGAGATGCCGAAGCCCTGCAGAGAGGCAGCTGTCCTGTTGCCAGAGTCCTCTCTGTTCCCGTGGCTCTTGCCACGTTAGAAGTCAGCTAAAAATCTTCTGAGCCAGACTCAGATGGCAGACTGTTTGTGGTCCTTTGTGTCGCCTGTGGCACAGGCCCAGGCTGGACGTTGCTCTGGACAAATTTCTAGGCAAACGATGGGTTTTATGTTAGCCGGCCCAGCCCGTCTTATGGGTGATCAGCACTCACTTTTCAAATCTGCTTTTAAGAAAAGATCTGAAGACGGTTGCTCTAGAATGAAAGTTTGTGTCCTTCCCAAATTCATATGCTGAAACCCACCCCATAGGATGGTATGAGGGGGTGGGTGGGGCCTTTGGCAAGTGTTCAGGTCACGAGGGTGGAGCCCTCTGAATGAGATTTGTGCTCTTACGAGAGACCTTACAAAGCTCACCTGTCCCTTTCACCATGTGAGGGCACAGGGCAGACAGTCCTCTGCCAGCACTGTGAACTTGTACTTCCCAGCCTCCAGAACTGGAAGAAATAAATTTCTGTTTTCTCCCAAGTCACCCAGTCTACAGCGTTCCGTAACAGTGGTCCCATTAGACCAAGACCACAGCTCCTTACATCTTGGGGAAACTTCAAGGCAGCAGGTTACTTCTCCCTGGCGTGCCTACATTTTCATGTAATGGACTATTTTAAAGTGATGTACTTCACTGTGCAGAGTGGAAGTCTTAACCCCTAGCTAAGGGAATTCCAAGCATCAGAGAGCAGGTGCGAGGAGGGGTTGGGAAGCTGAGACGGTGCCCAACTGTGCAAGTTGACAAGTGAGTCTCTGCAGGCTCACCCGCGCCCTCTCCTCTTTTTGAGAAAGATGACCCCAGCCTGTCCCCCCCACCCTGACCCTGGTTTCCCATCACTAGTGGGACATGTCGTTAGGGAAGTGAAACCAAGTTGCCATGGTAGACACACCATTTATTTAGGGTTGCACAGGAAACCCTTCCGTAACTCAGTGTCTTAGATCAGAGAGCACTTCTGTTTGCTGCTGATGCTGTGGGTCAGTCAGGTGGTCTAGGCTCCGCTGGAAGTCCTGCTGACCTCATTGGTGATCTCTGCTGGGTGTCCCGGGGCTGGGCGGTCTGAGACAGTCCCGCCCACACCCTGGCAGTTGGTGATGCCTGTCACCTGGGGCTTTGTCTCCATTTGGACTCGTCCTCCAGAGAGCTAGCTTGAATTTCTACTCATGGAGGTCCCAGGATCCCGTGATGACCGGCCTGAAAGCTGCACGGCTTCTTGAGACCCAGGCTCAGCAGTCATGCATCGATCACTGCTACTGCATCCCACCGCTCAAAGCAGGTCACAAGACCAGCCCAGATTCAAGTGGTGGCGAAATGGACACTACATCTTGTTCTGAAAGTGCCAGAAAGTCCCGTTGCAATGGAACACTTACGTAGGAATGAGAGGAATGGTCATGCTGTCTTTGCAAACAATTTACCACAGTCTGAGCCCTCTTTGCTACAACAATTCACGTACACCCCACATGCAAAATGCACTCACCTGCTCCCTCCAAAATCTCGTCATGGTTTTGAGTCCAGGACCTCATCACCTGATCAAGTCCAGATGTGAGCGAGGCTCCCCAGCCTCTCCAATGTGGCTCCTCTCCATACCTGTGAACAGAAATGAAAGGCTACCTGTCCTCACCGCACCTCAACACAGAGTGGGGAGACGGCGCAGACTGAATCAGCAGATGCCCCCTTTTAAACACGAGGAGCACAAGGCAAACCGAAGGCCTTCTGAGGACTGGCCCGGGCTGTGTTGGCGGGTCTCCCTCCTCTGGGCACAAAGTGTCACTGGGGCCCCGTTCTGCTCCCTGGGGCGCCCTAGGTCACTGTTCCCTGCTATTCTTGGCTCCACGCTTTGCAATATCTTTCCTTTTCCCTTAGAAAAGACCCGTGTTTGCCTCTGAGTAGCTCCCCGCATCTGCTTCCTGACCACAGCAACGTGGAGGTCCGCAGGCCTCTGTTCTTTTTGGAAAGACTCAGTTCAGACCGGTGGTGCCTTTGTCGACTTCGTAGGCTCTCTTTCCATCTTAGTGGGACTCACTCAGAACTACAAAGTCACATTGCAATTTTTTTAATGGAAACCACACTTGACTTTGTATGTCAGGGAGCTATGGCCAGTGTCCCCACTATGGACTGAACTGTGGCCCTCGCCAAACATATGCCAAAATAGGATACAACCCTAAGCTCCAATGTGACTGTGTTTGGAGATACAGGGCTTATAAGCAGGTAACTAAGGTTAAATGAGGTCATAAGGGGAGGACCCTAATTCAGTAGAATCAGTGTTCTCATAAGAGACAATAAAGATCTCTCCCCCGCCTTTGCTCTCCCCGTCTCTCCCCTCCATATGAGGACACAGCAAGAATATGGCCATCTACAAGCCAGGAAGAGAACTCTCACCAGAAACCAAATCAGCTGGAACATTGACCTTGGTTTTCCAGGTAAACTGCTGTTGTTTCAGCTTTCTGGCCTGCGGTATTTTATTACTTTATTACGTGGTCTGAGCTGACTAATACACATTCTGATGACAAGCAGTGGATGCTACTATAACCAATCCCATCCCAGAAGCTCCAAAAGTCTTGACTTATTCAAGCATTTGAAGTCTCAACTCCAAAGTCTCATCAAAAATCAGTTAAATAAGGTACAGTCTTACATGAAGCTGTACACCCAAAAAGCATGAATTGCACTCTGTATAAATCATGCTTCAAATAAGGCTTTGAGGAAAAAATACTGACTTAAAACAACTATTTTATTTTATTATCATTCTGTGGGTCAGTAATTTGGACTCAGACCACATGGGCCATTCTTCAGCTATTCTATACACAGAATCAGAAGCAAATGAAATGCTTGCTGTTTTAAGGATTAAGTTTAGGGGTGCTTTCTGGGTAGCACGGACAATCAATATGGCAGAGTGTCTAGGCACAGGAGCCTCTGCATGTTCCATAAGGCCAGGACATTCGAGCTGACCACGAGGGAGGCGAACTACCCTCAGAAAGATCAGCAGAAGCTCCGTCCCATCTAAGGAGACCCATGCTGTGTCCAAATGATGCCTCGCCCACCCGATCGGGCCTTCCGCCTGGGGACGGTTTTGGAGCAGATTTCCTAGAGTTTCGGGTCAAGCTGCTCTGCCTTCCCAGAATTGCCCTTCCACGCCTCAGGGTCTAGTTCTTGGTCATTAACTGTCCAGGTTGGCACCCTCTATGCTGTATATGATACCCCTGGTCCCTGGTACTCAATTCATGCAGATTACATCTGCAGCATCCCTTGGACCAGACTGTGGAGCCCCTCCAGGTCTGGCTGACTCTTGACCGCTTTGGTACCTCTCTCCGGGCCCCCAGGGATATCGGGCTCAGCTCCCTTACCACTCCAGGACCACGGAGAGAAGGCAACATGTAGTCTTTTATGGCAGATACACCAGGCAACTTCTCTAGCACAATGCTGGGTAGAGGGTCTCTCTGAGGACTGTCACCTTTTGGCTTCTAACCTGGAAAAAAGACACAGTTCTTCTTGTTCTCGGGATATGAAAAACCTACACTCATGCCAGCATTCAGCCGGCAGACGGGACAGAAGTCAAGTGCAAGAGCCCCTTTCGGGGACTCACCGGCATCTAGCCCTCTTGCTTTGCTTTAGAGAAGTCTCTTGTCTCCCAGCCAGGGGAATTTTTATTTTACGTGGGCAGGAAAAAAAATTGGCTCAAATTGATCAAATATTCTTCCAAATCTTTTTTGTCTGAAGCCGAAGCTCAGCTTTTTAAACTCAAAAGCCAAGAATTTGTCTCTTTTGTTCTCTGGTTCTGCTGTGACAGCCCTCCCTGGAGGCAGGGAATGACTCATGGTCTAGCTGCCCTACTGGGGGAGGGTTGGGGTAACAGGAAATCACAGGGAAAAACACATTTGTTAATACATCAAAATATTATCCTGCTACACTAGGATTTCTATCCTTTCTTATTCCTTGTTCAATGGAGACCAACTGGCTCTCTCCTTTCTTACAAAGCCTTCTGTGTTTGATAAGGTTCTCTGGGATGTAGGAGAGAGAAGTCAACCCATTCTTGCCCACCGTCTCCCTGGCAACAGTGGGAGTGAAATGCAGGTGCAGGGAGGAGGAGTGGGAAGCACTGGAGGCTGAGATGGAACTGTGACTATGTTTGAAGAAGGCACCCAAAACCCGAATGTCCACCAAAACCCTCCTTTCTCTGGCTCCTGCTCTTCTCCGCCTGTTGGCTGTGTTCACTCTGTGACTTTCTCTGGCCCCCCTGTAGATGGGGCCTAAATTTGAACTCCTCCTGCTACCTGCTGAGACTGCAGTCAGTTGCTGGGATATCTGAGTTCTCAGGGAAGGGCTCCTGATCCCACTGCAGCTGAGGGAAGGACCAAATCCCATTTTGCAAAAAGGCTGCGGCACGCCCACTATCAATGGAGGGGAGAAAAATTCTTGGAAAAGTAGAGACTGGGCAGATAACCCCTAGATGTGTAATTTCCTGCTCCCCGGTTGCAAGGGATTTAGTTCACCTTTAGTAAACTATCTGTACCTATCAGGTCTGCGTTATCACACTGCCTGTTTTATAGCTATTTATAGGTGTGTCTCACTTCCAATCAACCACCAGCAGCGTGTGGCCGAGGACTCAGTCTCCCTCTGCACAAAGGCAGATGCGTGTGCCACGCACAAGACAGGAAGGACCAAGTAAATTGATGAATGGGAACAAAGGATTTAGTTGGGTCAATAATCGCAAGGGAAGAAATAGAAGGAATTTATCTGCTGGGTGTCATTTGGAGAAAATATCCAGATACTCTCTCTCCTGGGCCACACTTCTTCAGGAGGAGAAAGAGTTAAGCCGCTTTGCACTGTGTTTGCTGACTCCTGACGTGAACTAAAGCACCACAATTTTGGCTTTTCCATTTTAGCTGACATAGTTTAAGTTGATGAGTATTTTGATTTGTGCCAGTCTCGGGCAGTTTTAAATGCTAGATCCCTGCAGGAGTCAAGAAGTCCAGTCATAATCATAACAATCTGCTTGTCAGTCAAAAGCACCCGAAGATTGCTTAGGTGCAAAGAAAGCATTTTGCCCTGAAAGGGAACAGGGCAATTGAAATCACCTACTTCTCAAGGCATTGAAGTCAAAACTGTTACCACCTTCCTGGTGTGAAAACCCAGGTCTCGGGCACCCCCTTGGTCGGACTTCACTATGTCCTCGGGCTATGCAGCCGAAGCATGAGTCAGTCTGACGTTCAGAAAAAATTAGACTAAAGGGAAAGCGGGGCGACCAAGGTTGATTTCCGCCTCATTATGCGCAGGTCACTGTTTCGGCAAGGAATGTCTAATGAATTCCTCTCCATCTCTGCAGTCCAAGCGCCTTGGGATCGGCTTGCCGAGCCACCTGAACTCTGTGCAATTACACAAGATCTGGGCAGAAGAAAATGATTTGAGTTGATTTTTTCCTGGACAGACCAGGCAAATACTATTTGATAGAACTGACCTCAAGGTGAGACCAGAGGAACTGTTTGCATTACAGAGGCAAAATTTAAAAATTCTCATCGTGTTGGGTTCATTAGCAAAAGGGAGAAAGCCAGAAAGCAGTGTGGGAGGAAGACAAGGAAGAAAAGGGAAAAAGGAACAGCCTGGGGAGAAATGCATTTCCAAACTGGAGGCAGCCCAGCGTTATTCATCGCTGGATATGCTGATGTCAGGACCTTCTTTTTTCAATGTTAGTGTGACCTACACAATTCCAGCTGCTCAACAAATTTGCTCGGCCCCGTCACCCCTCCAGAGGACAGTTAGAAAACCGACCTGGGATGCCCCTTCTCATCGCATTGCATCCACAGCAGCTCTTCCCTGGGACGGAACTGGTTAAATAAAAAGTTACTGTAACAGAAAGAACACCTTTCACCCCTGAGGAATCCCATATACCCCATGCTGATATCAAAGAGCCTCTTCGTGGGAAAGAGCAGCGTGGAAAGCAGAGGGGAACAAAAATCTGGAGTGCGGAGCCCGCTGGGAGCTTCAGACAAATATGAAACAATGACTTCATGCAGTGGATAAATTTCTCACATTCTTCCACCAGTTTTATTAGCTGAACGCTCACGTATCTGTCCCGTTGTACGCACACCACGCCTGCCCAAAGAAGAGCCTGAGTGGGTATTAAAATACACATCCGGGGGAAATGGCATCAAATGCTGCCCTTTTGTCCCCCGTCTGCCAGTGTTGGCCATTCAACTGAAAACTTGTTTGTGACTGTACTTTGTGTCACTGATGAGGAAAAGATGAGTTTGAAGGTAAAAAGTCTTCAGCAATTACAGAGCAGGGGGACATTTACTGTCCTATCTCCGTCCGCTGTCCCAGGTTGCCCCACGAAGTCCGGCTTTCCAGGCGCAACGCAGGGTATCCCAGACCCATCCCTTGGGCTCTGTCTCATGCTTCTCTCCTAAGAGAATCCTTCTTTGCCCTGAAGCCATTTCTATTCATTGTCTCACCAGATGGGGCACACAGATGCCCTCGCCCCCTCCTGCGCCGTTCCCTTCTTCTGTCTGAGCACTGCCTTGCTAGCCCTCCACCAAACTCTTGGGGGCTGCTCTGGCCTCTGCCGGGTCTCTCATCTGGATTCCCCTC